TAAGCTTAAAACTCTCAGTTGCGCGAATGGCCATGTATACATCTGGCCTCTCGGCATATGGTGACTTTCACAGATGAGTTTCCTGGATTCCTTTGACAGGTTTTACGGTGGTCCACTTTGCTTGCTTCACCGCACGAAACTCTCGAACTCGAAGACAGTTATGAGCACTGCGCAGAGTGGTTTGACGCGTTTTGCGAAGTGCTGAAGGCATGTAGTTCCCACCAGGAACGCAAGCGATTGTACGTGCTTCTGCCACCAATCATCCTGAAGAAAAAAATATTGCGTCTGGTGTCGGGTGCGACTGCCTACATGATTGATCAAACATGAAAACTGAAGCGGAAAGGTGGTTTTTGGGAAACCCCTGATCCCTACATGGGGAAAAAGGCGAATGCCAAAGACGTGAGAGTTGCACTTGAGTACTACACACGCGACGACCTCGCATGCTCTTTTCAAAGCCCCAACAAAAAGGACGTCGTCAAAGCCATGATCAACGACAACAAGACCAATGTCGTAAAAAGGTGTATGACCCGCTCTATTAAGGAAGCTTACAAGCTGTTCAGGAAGGACCATCCCCATCCCGAACTAGGCATCTCCAAATTTTATTCCCTACGACCAAAATGGGTGAAAAAAAAAGAAAAAAACGTCCCGAGCAAGAGGTGTGCGCATGCATATATTGCGTCAATTTTCAGTTGCTTTTAACGGTAATAACAAATGCCCCAAAGAAGACATTTACTAAAGACGACCTCAAGCGCATCTACCTCTTCTGCGCTCCACAGAACGATTGCTTTCTGCGCCGTTGCGAAAAGTGCCCAAAAACGCAGAGCATCTCGCTGCAGTCGCTTCATCTTGACGAAGACGAAGAGATCTGTTTCGCGTTATGGGACGCTTGCGAACTCTTCAAAAAGGTTATGGACACTTCTGCCTTCCTGCGGCAATTGGAGAGCGAAAAGTATATGAGGCATTCTTACATCCTTGACCTTGAACGAAGCCTGATACATGACACAAGAAGCGCCTTACCACCCAAGGCAGTGATGTTCCACTTCGATTTTGCGGAAAAACGGACAGTACTCTTTCCAACCGAAGTGCAGAGTTTTCATTGAAAAAAAACTCAAGTGTCTCTCTCCACAAGTGTGGTTACGTCCACGCAAGGCACGTGAAGCTTTTCCGTTGTCACCGATGGTACACGACACATGACACAGCTCACGCTCTTCTAGCCACATAGGCCATAAAAGAGTATGTTAATGTTCATTTCCCAGTCTTTTTTGAAATAATTTTTGTATCAGACGGAGCGGCGGCGCATTTCAAGAATCGCTTCCAATTCCACGAATTGTCTCGGAAGCCGCACTCTTCGGCAAGATGGATCTTTTCAGCCACTGGACACGGAGAAAGCGCTTGTGATGAAGTGGGTGGAAGAACCAACACTCACCAAGTTGAGATCTTCGCTCAACTCAACGATTGCCACCGCTAAAGACTTTGTGGAAGTGCTACGTAAAAAAGTAACAAATGTCTGCATGTTCCACCTGTCTGTGGAACGGGTTCGAGAGTTTCGTGCGGTAAAGCAAGCAGAGTGGACCACCATAAAACCTGTGAGAGGAATCCAGGCTTCTCATCTGTGGAAGTCATCATATGCCAAGAGGCCGGATGTATACATGGCCACTCGCATAACTGAGAGTTTTAAGCTTATCTATGCATAGTTAGCGAATTCGCACAGTGGGGCCGTTTTGTTCCTGTGAATTGTAAGCTAATTAATGGTATTCCAGCTCAAAGTCCATTTTCGCGTCACTAATACTCAGCCCTTATGAAAAAAATAATTTTAATAATATAAAATACATGCCATAACTAACGCTCAAAACGTTTGGTGCTGTGCGGCAAAGCCGCCTTGACGAAGACGTCGGCTCGCTCCGAGTGAAGGTTTGTCGTAGCTTTTCCCGCTTGGAGGTCATATGTTACTCAATCTTTTGCCATCACAGGTTAGTTCAAGTCACTGTAAAGTGCCACGGGGTGTTAAAAAAAAATAAAAGATGGAGTTTTTTAAATATCGACGCCCAATCTTGCCACATTTTGAGAAATCAGCCGCATTTCCGCGTTAATAACAAGAATACAATTAAGGGTGGGCATATAATTGTTACATATCCGTAAAGAATATTTAAATACCCGTATTTTGATATGTTTTGTGAAGTATTATGAAAGATGGTTTATTTGCAAAAAAATTGTGAATATGTCTCTAAAATGCGTTTTTATGCCATGTTTGATATTTTTGTTTGCATAGAAATATTTTATTGATATTTTTAATTTTTTATGTATCTGTTGTATAACCCCTGTAAAACCTATTAAAAAAGTTATGGTGCCGTGAAGGGTTCGATAAGGAAATGACGACTGTGCAAAGTAGCATTGTGAAATCTTCTCAATTTCCACGCCTCAAGCTTCTCTATTTTATATCTCAGCTAAAAAAATTGTTACGGCGTTCATATCTAGCTGAATGTCCCTCCCAAAAACATGGCTTTCATATATATTTTTAACAAAAATATCTAAAATATGACCCGGACCATCATTGCATGAATTGATGTGGAAGCACCCAGTACTGCCTTTATAACCCACAGACAAAGACATAAAACACATGTCTTTAATTTCAAACATCGTTCAGTCCTTTATCTTTCCCCAACAAGACACGAACCTGATGAAGCATGCAGATAACTATATAGGGTGGTTCAAGTCACCAGGGTCGATATAAAATGGACCGTAAAAATCGACGCCTGCACGTAGCAATATAAACTTTTCGTCAAAGGTGTAATTCACAGGTCGGTCCTTTCTTGTAAAATTGCAAAGTGTAGCTCTCTTTCTGCAAAAGATAAGGCCAAGAAACTTGCCAGGGTCTACGGCGGGCAGCAACACAGACGAGAGGAGTCCAGTAGCGGGGTGTGTTTGGCGTTCGTATTGACAGATGGCGCTACCTCCATATCGCGACGGCTCGCGACCACCGTGGTTTATTAAAATGAATATAATATTTTTAAAATGTATCTTTGGTTACAAAATAAACACAAACAATAAAAGAAAAACTTGAAGTGAAAAAAAAAAACGCGTCTGTATAAAAGCGGCGCTTTTGATGCCAACCGATTTCGCCTGCGTGTCGTCTGCTTTCTTTCGCTGGTCGGCTGCACTTTCAGACGCTGCTCCCGACGCCATCTATCAATACGAATGCCAAACACTCCCCGCTACTGGACTTGGTCGTCTGGGTCGCCACCCGCCGTAGACCTTGGCAAGTTTCTTGGCCCTATTTTTTACTAAAAGAGAACCACGCTTTGTAATTTTACATGGAAAAACCGACCTGTGAAATACACCTTTGACGAAAAGTTTAGATGGCTACGTGCGGGCGTCGGTTTTTACGGTCCATTTTAGATCGAGCCTGGTGACTTGAACCACCCTATATACCAACCCATTTGTGGCACGTCACAATGTACTCAGGGCTGTGAAGTCACTGAAAGCAAATTTTGAACCATAGAGACCAACACTCTACCACTCTTACCGTTATACTATGGTGCCTGGAGCGCTTCTCCGACTGGTGTGTTTAGCGTCCTATCCCGCTCATACATCAAAAGTGGTCCCAAAGTGGTAACAAATGACGTCACAGAAGCCGGAGTGTCATGCTGTTGCATGTCGCGATCCTGGCGGTTGGTCGTAGAAATGCTGGTGAAAACCACAGGCGAACGCGAGCGTTCCAGGCGTCCAAACTTCCGGCTGCTTTAGCTTCCGTGGATTGACGCATTGGAGAGCGACCCGCAGTAGAACAGGTGTCTGCCACATACACCACAGCTATTGTGACGCCACCAGGTTCGCGACCGGCGACAGCATGACACTTCTATGACGTCATCAGGCGGAAATCGAAGGACCACATTTTTGGAGCCAGTAAACACACCAGTCGGAGACGCGTTCCAGGTATCGTGGTCATACGGCCTTCAACTTTTCAACCGGGCTATATACGCCATTTGCCAACGAGCTGCTCACAAATAAGCAGGCGTTTGCCGTCACCTGGTGTAGGCATTTCTCGTCTACGCATGCGCCGCGCCGACACCAGCGTCACCGCAGTGGGGTGACGTCAGAGGCGAGCCTTGGTCTATAGACCACCGCTACTCTTTGACGTCACGTCACTGCGGTGGCGCTGCTGTCGGCGCTGTGCATGCGCAGACGCTTCACTTCTGCGCACGCGCATTGCCCACACCCGGTGTGAGAAAACGAGGGCTTGTTTGTAAACACCGTTCGTTGGTGTATATACTCGGTCGACTTGCACCGGCAAACACAGGTGCAAAAAATCTACACCCGGTGAAGGTTGAGGCGTTATTTCAGTATGTTTTTATTAAAGATAGACTGCACTCACAAATTGAATAAAGTGACAAAGACAAGGCATATACCACTGCAGCAGGTATAGCTGAATCGAACTCCTTCATCCCTTAATATTCATTCACCATCGCGTGTTTTTTGTGATTCAAGGCATACAAAACCTACCGGCAAAAAAGCAATGAATATAACTTGAGATAAAGAAATGCAGCAGCGTAGACAAAATCTACCCGAAACCTGTCTGCGAAAAAAAATTTACACCGTGTTTTCTTTTGACCCCGCAATTCTAGAGAATCCGTGTAACGCTCCGTTTGATCGTGCACTTCTGTCGGCTGGAAGACGTGCTGCTTTGCTCTGCTCGGTGACCTCGGCGGTGGAAAAGGCCATAAGAGCAGGCAGGCAAAGCGTCGCACATCTCATTATCGCTCCTCCGCCAATGAGATTCCAGTATTGACATATACGAAATCGTCAAACAAATCATGAAGCAAGCAGCGTGAAGATAATGAAGCTCCTGCGTTTCTTGTTAGGCTGTCAATGAATATTACACCAAAAGTAAAAAAAATGCTAATTTTGGATCTAACAGGTAATTATCTATTCTTTGAGATATCTAAATGCTTCAGTCTTTTCTCTAAATCTTTTTAATGGCTGTTCAAACCCAAGTAGCAGCCTCAATATTGAGGAGCTGTTTCATTGTGGCAGCTGCTACGATACGGAGATTGTTTCAGAGTCATGTTGCAGTTTCCTTCATAAATGTTTTCGCATTTTTTATGACATTCATCGCAAGTTGCATTCTTTTCTCGGATGAATAAGATACAACCTGTAAGAAAGAAGAAATGATGTTTTGCAACTAATGTTAAAAAAGAATAAGCGAGGCTTGCGTGGCACTTTTAAAGCAGTGAACGTTTTCTCAAATTTTCAAAGTAAGCTTGATTTAAATAGGACTACAACTAGCTTTTTAATCAGCAAAGTCTTTGCCCAACTGTTTTAGTAGGGGTCTAGTATAAAGCCTCATATTTGGGTTGTTAACTGGCAATGCTCTTCAAGGAGATTTCGCTGTGGTCACACCGTTATACTATTAACGGAAATTCCTTTTAATACCTTTTCTTAATATTACTGCATAGCTAATTCAGGAACGTAATGGGAGAAGCTCAATTTCTATCTCGCAACGCAAAAAAAAAAAAAAATTAGGGAAGAAAGGATGGCAAGATAATTCGAAGATATTATACAAGGTAAACGGTCAACATAATATACAAATTAAATATCGCAAAGCTTGGAGAAAGGACGAAGGACAGAGCATGTAGACAGGACAAGCGCTAAATCGCAACTGGCGTTTTAATAGAAAAGAAGAGAAGGAAGCAGCGTATAAATACACCGAAAAACGGAAGAAGATTTATAATAAAAGGAGAAAACTGAAAGGTATAAACGAAGAAAAAAATATGCTGCTTCCTTCTCTTCTTTTCTAATAAAACGCCAGTTGCGAGTTTGCGCTAGTCCTGTCTACATGTTCTGTCTTTCCTCCTTTGTCTAACCTTTGAGCTATTTAATTTTCATATCATGCATATCCAGCTAGCGCACCTCAATATCTTAGGTCAACATAAAATTCAATGAGAAAAACATATGTTAGAAATAGTAACAGAAATGAAACTCGATCTTCTTCAAAACGAAATTAGTGACTATCATTTAGGAAGCCAAAGAAGTCTGAATATATTAAAATGTACCGAAGGGTACATTTTTATGAACTTGGTACAAAACTATTGAGCGTGCACGGCAAGATATAGTGAAATATTTAACCTGAAAACCCAATGTATTTGTAATATCCGACGTTTAGTTTCATATTTTTTCTCCTAACAAAACATTTTTTTTATTCGAGACGAAGTTTGTTATAATATAATTTCCAACACGTTAATGAGAAGTAGTTGGAAGTGTAAAACATTTTCGATTATTCGCGCGTACATAAGCTTCATCAGTGCTTTCCGCAAAACGCTGAAATATGGTTTGCAAGAACTCTGTTTTGTCCATGCTAGAATCACAATAGCAGATGAAATATTGCCGCGCGCGCAGCGTGTTAAGTAGGTAGCGCGCGCGTCGCCTAACGGTTATCGCGCTTGCCTTCCACGCAGAAGGCCAGGGTTCGAATCCTTGCCGCGGCTACACATTTTTGTTGACACTGTAATGAGATGTTCTGGTGAATTCGAGAACCGTCTTGGCTGATTCGAGGTTAGAATGTTCTACGCGCCGAACCTTCTACGCCGAACGATCCAGAAACCCACGGGGTACATAAGGGATTCCGCTAGCTGAGCGGAGTCAGTTTTCGCCTCAGCGTTCGATCCTGCTGCTTCGCCGCTTTCGACGCCCGCGACGCTCCGTTCTTATTTTCTTTTGCCTTTTATTCCTGGGCACAAGTTCGCCCCATTAAACGTTTCAGTTTTCTCAGTTATTTTGTTGTTTTGTCACCTTGTCATTCGTGACAATATTGCGAAACATTTGCACAACTTATTTTCTTCATCTAGTAGATCCTGAGTTGGTGAACAATTAAAAAAAAGAAAAAAAAGAAAACAGTAAGATTGCCAGCTCGCCTAAACTCTATCACTGCTATACAATTGAAGTCTTGTCCCAAGCGCATATTTTCTTCATAAAGTACGCATGCAACCACCTACGGGAGCCGAGGCATTGGGCCTCTTTTACTGAGAACACACACTAACCCCCTCTTTTTCCGAAGGGTGCCGAAATGTGTTTTCCTAGAATTGTGATCCTTGAGGAGTTCTGGGTACACACGGGAGCCTCATACGCGAACCTGAGCATCATGCTCAGTTTCGCCATTTATATATAGCATGTCCGCTTTAGAACCTGATATATGTATCATATTTCTTCAGTAACTCTCAGCGTCTTACAATGATTGTCCTTAAACAAACTCTGCTAGACAGTATGGACACGCGTCCTGGCATCTGAACGTTGCAAGTGTTATTAAAATAAATATTTTAAATAGATATCTGGCTACGTTTTACTGTCGCCATGTTTTTCGCCAGTGTGGAAAAAGACAATTTTACAATTTCTAATGCTTAAAAAGTGACGGCGGTTAGCAGATGTTAGAGACGTAGTAGCCATTCAATAGCTTAGGAAGTAACTGCATAGAAACCCAAAAACTGGGCAGAGATCTTACGTAACGCTTGTATCTCACTTGTGAGCCGCACCCTGCTAAAGGAAGTATATATACATGGAAAAAGCCGGCTGGAAGTGGAATTTGGTAATAAGGCTTCATTGGCACTCGACTGATCACCGCAGGATTTCGGTTATAATCACAGGCATAACGAGGGAGAAGAGAAAACAATTGCGTAAATTTATGACAAACAAAAAAATAAAGCGTTTGTGTAACTCGTCTTTTCATGGTTCATACTAAAGAGTTTGTAAAATTCGAAGTCAGTACTATTTATTGGTTCTTTTTATTTAACAGTTGTTATGAACTGTTTTTCACAACGAAGACGCCGCCAATGCGCACGGGCGCTGCTAGCCTTGTGTGCAGAACTCAAGAAGTTTTAGCGGGTTGCGAAGAGCATTGAGGCACGGCGGACAGGATCTACGAAAACTTGCTATTATTCTTGGTTCGGGAATAAACGGTCAAAAAGGATCCATTGACCCATGCATCGTTTACAAAAAGAAGTGAAGTGAAAACCCCTCTCTTGCCTAGGGGCATCAGGCTTTTTGGCACGCTAAAATTTCTTAGCCAAATCCAAAGGTTTTTTTCTTTCTTTTTTTTTAAAGCGGTAATTTTATAGACCTAGTTAAGCTCGTGCGGTGCCAGTACCGGGTGCTTTTCGTTCCGGGCAAGCTCTCGGCAACGGCGGACCCCCTTTCTTGAGCGTCCCTGGCGGCGACTATATGAAAGTGGACCGAGGCCACCAAATCGACTCGGTCGAGCCTTTCGTCACCGAGGTGGTTAAAGGGTTTGAGAACTTCACTTCCTTTCGTTTCAAGCGTGTAAGGGTAATTTATGTAATGTTCTTTCACTGTCAGAAAGGGGGATGTTGCGTGACTCGACATTTCTGACGCGGCATGCCTCGTGACGTGCGCAAGGCGCATGCGCGAATCTATCGCGTGATATGGCCTTGGGCGGTGGAGCTGTCAACAAAGCTCACTTGGGTTTCGGGACTCTTCGTGTCCGGCTGCTTCCTTACCCACGAACACGCGGCTAGAGCCGGGCTAGCTGCGACAGGGACTTCACTAGTTACCGTGTACAACACGGTCTGGTGCTTGATAGACCTCAAACGTTTTTGGTAGCAAGGACTTTTAACGTTCTTTTTATTGCTTGTGTACAAAAAAAAATCTGGTTAAGGGAGAAGAAGTAAGTCAAAATATAATTTAAAACTGTCTTATGGGGATGGAGAGTAGTAGTAAATTTAGAAAATTGCCGGTCTGACTGCTTGTGCACCAGCTTTATCTGTGGTTTTCTGTGAAATGCTCATTTATGGCCTCCGTTTTTAGAACGCTTGCATTCAAAGAGTATTGGGACATTGAACGACTTTTCATAAGAACTTTAATTAGATCGTTCTCATGACTCCGGCAGCGATACTTGACACTCTGCCAACGCCTTTGGTGCACGCAGCGTATTGTTATCGGAGGTGTTGGAACGATCTACTGAAACTCTTTATGCTCAACTCTCGAGCGTCTACTTTTTTATAAAGTATTCATACAGTCAAAAAGCGCAAGTCTTGGACTGCATGAGTCTAGACTAGCCGTAATCTACTCATTCTTGAAACACACAAGCACTTACACTTATCGAATGACACAAAATTCCTTTAAGTTCTGAAACTGTAATATGCGTTGAATTGTGGCCAGCTGAAATATTATAATCAGTGGTACCCTCTCTACAACGTTTTTTTTTGTTGTTTAAAATAAAATAAATGCATCACCTACTGAAGTGTTTTTTTCAACACATGACAATGATTATCCTTACACAAACACGGCTGGGAAGTAAACGCGCATTCTCACACCCGACCACAGTGAACTAATTCGCCTACATTAAATAGTTGCGAGGCTTCGTTAGTCTAAAGTCAAGTTTCTCGTCACTTTGGAATTATGACTATTTCATCACGCTTATTGCTAAAAACATGACTGCGGTTAACAGACTTGACATACCAGTGCCTGGTTAGCTTATAAATCATCGCATAGAAATACAATACTGAACATAACGCTGACGTAGCGTTTTGACCCAATTGTAAGTCGCATTCCGCTAAGTGGCATCGAGTCATTGTTAAACGCCATGTAGTAAGTGGAAGTGAGTATCACAGCCCTCCTGGCGTAGGACCTGTTGCCGTATGACTCAGCAAGCATCATGATCAATGGCATTCCGGGAAAAAAGAAAAAAGGAAGTGCGTTAATTTTTTACGAACACGAAAATAAAGCTCTTCTCAAACGCTTGTTTTTATGCCAGTGTCAAGCTGCACCTTGAAGATTAAACTCATAATATTTCACGTCTCCTTTCACTAATTTTAGCTAGAGAATAAATTGGCAAAAAATTTTATTGTCTCGAGGGTGGTATTAGAAAATGTTAGGTCATTGTATTTAACAACAAAACTTATATAGAAACATTCATTTTGTTACGTCGCGTTTGACTTGAAAGACTTGTATTGGAATCAAAGATTGCTTTCGAAACATACGAAATTTGCACGATGAAAATGCGCTATGGACTTGGACAATGTTTAAAAAAATGACCCAATCAATATTTAGTACTTCCTTCAGTATTCAGTGGAAAGCCACCAAAAGACGTGCCAACCGCGCTTTCGCGTGCTTTTCTTTTCACGTTAAAATCAATTTCAATATTTTGAAATGAGAAACATACGCTTCACTTTACTATGCACTGATTTTACTCACCGTTGTTGTAATGTGGAACTCGAAGAACGAAACAGTCTTCTGTCTCGTCTAAATACATTAAGGGGAATTCAGCAAGTTTAGTGTCATCTGCAATCGGTAATTGGGACATTAAATTGCGACGCAAAACAAGAATAACCCAATATATAAATTCTATATTTATCTGCGCCTTACGAAGACGTGCTAACCTGAAAACCTCCATAGTACCTGGCTCAATTAACTTTAATATGATAGAGCATTTTATATATGCCTCGTTCGTGACGTCACACTAGGGGAGGACGGGGCCCCGCACAGTGGTGGACTCCATACCGCACGGAGGCGCTTACCAAGACGTAGGTTGATTGCTCGGACAATCGTTGACATGCCCGTATTTTCAGCAATGGCACCTAATTTCTTAACTGTATCTTAAAAAAAGAAAAAAAAATTTTAGTTTTTTTTTTGGTGAAGAAGGAAGACCAGCGAAGCTGTAGCTTCTGTTCTAGGTGGTGGCTTTCCAGGCGAGCGATCTGCTCTTCTTTTGCAAGGGAATCTGAAGTGCTGGACGCAATGTAACCTTAGGCGATAGCCGCCTCGCGGCGGTTGCGGAACCATTAGTGCTGATGCGCACATCGCCGCTCGTTCCGTTCCCGTTTTTCCTCCAAAGAAACGATGCCGCCATCTATGAGCAACGGCGGCAACCAGTTGTCTGGTTGCCGCCTTCGCTCATAAATGGCGGTAGCTGTCCAGAGTTCGGTGTCATCGTTTGTTTGCCGGTAGACGCGATCCTGGTTAACCTAGCCCTTAACAGCTCCGCTGTAAAACATGCCGAGATTACGATGATGATTTTCAGCCAGTACGTGCGAAATGTTTCGGCGTTGGTGCGATTGCGCTATGACTAGATAATTTGGATATGCCGCCGATGAAGTTTTGTCGTGAAGGGCTGTCGTGTCGGCAAAACAAGCTTCATTACGCGTCCCAAAAATTATTTTACCAGGGGCTCTAAAATCCTCTCGTAGTGAAGTTGTTACGATTTCGCGAAGTACTGGTAAACAACTCTAGTCCACCGTGCCGCGGATGGCACAACCCGATGCCCCGGTGTTGGCGACTCGGCCAGCGTGCACTGGGGGGTCGCCGCCACCTGACGGTGTGCTCGAAGCGTGGAAACGTCGTGATGAAACGAAAAACGAAGTGCATCCACGTCACGATCGGGCAAAGCCGATGCAAAGACATGCGCGAACATAGGCAACGTTAGAAAAGTGTCCTCACTCGCCGCTACGAAATGCGTTCCGCGAACTCCATAGTGCGCATCCGCATCTCTTCTCTGCCACTCATACTTTCTCTAACTTGACGGCTACTCTGTCGCGGGGCATGTCAATAAAACGATCTTCGCGATTCGTAGCAATTGCCACAGCCCAACGCGACGGAGTTTACCATGGCTCTCGCTGCCAACGGCCGTCGACTCCACCACCAGCATGGTGATTGCCGGCGCACGACATCATGTGACGTGGGTACAAGGCGTGTAGGCTGTTTAAATTTGCAGAACATAAAAAAAAAATTAACAATAACACTAGCTCCGTTTGATTTACTTGCACCTCCTGGACGGGTGTAGAAAAAGTGTAAGGCACTTTTTCTACACCCGTCCAAGAGGTGCAAGTACTTCCGGCATGCATGTGTATTGAAATACGACCGGAAGTAAACCGCCCTACACTTTTCTGCACCGGTGCAGGAGGTGCAGTTAAATCGAACAAAGCTGCTACAACAGCTTCGCTCAAATCCTCAATAATAGTTCATTACCAGCCCCGGAAAAACATGCCTGAGCGGGAATATCACACTCAAAGACCCGACGTTACATGACGTGCTGCGTGTTCATGTGCTGATTCAGTAGTTGTGTTAAAACTTTACATAAGCCGTATTATTTCCTGGAATTCGCAACGAACGCATGGCTCAGCATACTTGTGACATGTTGGTCAGAGTATCGGCTCGTGTGACTCTTGGGTTCTTTTTTAAAATTTTCTGTAGGCCCCACTTTATAAATTAACCCTCAAATGTAAGTTTATCTTTTTTTTTTTTTAATAAGCAGAACATCTTTTTAGTGGCGGAATGTGTAGCCTGCTTCTCGGCAGCCCTCCATTCGTTAACCACCTAAATTGTAAAAAACTTGATCGGCAAGATGAAATAATTTGCTTTTTGCATACTTTGTGAGAAATTCGGCACAAACGCTTCTTTGCCGTTGTAGCATCTTGTATTAAAACCCTTAGTGCCCCGACAGAATTCGCACGACTAGGTCACACCTCTTTTTTTAATACTCACAGAAGTTAAGCAATATGGGAGAGGCAGACGTCTATAAAGAGATTTGGAATATAGTTTAAAAGGTGCTCTGGTGCTCAAATCCTAAAACAGATTGAGGCACGGCAATGATCCGGCACGTTTACGGCAACTACAGTCTTAGTGACCGCGGGGTGCCATGGTAACGTGTGATCGGGTTCCTTATCAGGGAAGACAATGTTTCCCACGTGAATATAATATGTGTAAATATATACATACTTGGTCGGAGTTTATGCAAGATTATATTCGGCTTGGAGTGTCCTTCGCTTTTTTTAAACCGTAGTGGAGTGTCAAATCCAGTGCTGCGCAATACAAGAGTGTTTGTAAGCAAACTTTAGATATGCAAGCATCGGCAGGCAGTTTTATGCCACTGACAACCTAAGAACGTGATGGACGTGGCCAGTCGCAACTATCTCGTCAGCTCTGGACAGTCTCTAGAGTTGCAACATCACCAGGTGCGTTTTATGAGGAACGAATCACGTGAAGGGACGAAAGCGGTGACCACTGGTCACGTCCTGTTGTTATTAGGTTGTCGGTGACTTTAAGAGTGATGAAGTGAGTATTACTTTGTTCCATTGATTCGCAGCCGAAGGTGAAGCTCATATGTGCCGTTCACGCATGACACAGTGTTCCAAAAGCAATCCGCCCCAGGTAAAGGACTATAAGTAGAATACTTTATAAAAAGTTTTTCCTGGTCATCACGAAACTGAAAAGAAAAAAAGGCAGGAAAGCACATTACTAGATTAATTTAATTTTCTTGGGCACGGACGACAAACGACACAGAGTCGATCAATTAACGCTCGTTTCACACGCACCGGCCGCTTATTGTCCGGAATACCGGGCGCTAATAAGGGTTCAGATCAACAAGTTTGTCTAGCACAGGCAGCCAATCTGGTGGATCACTCTGCGACTTAAAAAACTTCTCCTAAGTAACAGACACTTTCGATGAAGTACTTTGGGACCGGTCGAGCATTCACGTCGCCGTGTCGTATCGCCATCCTAGACTTCAACAAACTGTGAAGACTCAACAACGTCAACAATTCTTAGGGCACACCCCCTTCGTTATCTGCCGTGAGTGAACGGATGCCAAAAGCCGTACGCTTTATTAAAGTAGGCTGCAGAACGTCTTAGTTAAACACTCCGTCAAAGCAGACTAGAAAATATGGTTTACAGTTTCTGGCTTTTTACATATGGCAGAGTCCCCACAAAAAAATAAAGACGTCAGAAATATTAAAGCAGGCATTGTTTACATTTTTTTCTGACTTCCTCCAGCACAGGACTCCAAATAAATGACAAAAAATATCGCAATCAAAGCAACACTCGATTAATCTGAAAGTTAATCGATGAAGTGCCCAGTCCCGACATGCATTAGGTTAGGGCGGAGGGTTATCGGAAAGTCACGTGAAAGTCGCTAACTGTCATTAGTAGAATTGTGTTGCTCCGGCCGATGCTGACTGTGTCGTGGTGCGGCTCATTTGTTGGAGTCGCAGAGCCTACTACGCTTGGATAGAAGATGATTTCACCCGGAAACAGGCATCAGTTGTGGTGATTCATGCTTCCTTACGTCAGCCTAGAGCAGGCGGCGCATCCACACAAGCCGTTCTTTATTTTTTGGACCGTACGGTGGTAATACGATTCGATCTTCACCGCAGCACTTAACAGTACCGCACCATTTTCCGCTAAAGTTGTTTTGCCACCGATACTGTGGGACAAAATAAACGCAAGAATTCACACCGCCATGCGCGCGAACGGGGAGATGCTATGGAGCGGCCATGCTTCTGTCCCGGCTTTGATGATGAGGATAGCGCGAGAGTAGCACCACCTCAAGGTCGATCTCGAAGCCAATAGCACGAGTAGCTGCCACGTAGCTGAAAGAAAATTTATTTAAAAAGTGTAGAATTCTTTGCTTTGCTCTGCCAACTTATATATAAATGGATGATCAGCTATTTGGTAAATAGTGATTTGATAGGGCATATAATTTTAACAACATAGGAATCGGTAATATACTTTTTGAAACTTCAAAATCCTATTTTTAGTCAGGTATGATCCCGTTTAAAAATGTGTGTTCAATGTGGGTTGTTAGCTTAATACTTGCCCTGAGAAACACCGACAAATTCGCCATAACTTAGTAAATAATCCCATAAACGCTTAGCTACGTCTATTGAACAACCTAACATTTCAAGATATTGTCTTCGCGAAAATTTGTTGAAAAACATTTTTATAATTATATAATTTCTCTATATCACACGCTCATGGTATCAGTCATATAAGACCAAGTTTTAACGTTTCTATCAGAGAACTAACAATGCATGATGAAGCGCCTCACATTGAATCAAGGCACGCTTCTGATAGGCATACGGTGAAGGAGAATAATAAAAAAAGCTTAGTTCATAAATGGTCGGCTAGAAACCGCACATGGGGTCCCTGTTGTGAACAAGATGAAATCTTCCCGAATATTTCAAGGAAAAGTTTGTGAGCGTGTTATCACGATGTTATAAAAAAACTAAAATCTGGGGTCAAAGAACTTCAGGCATTTGAAGGACGAAGAGAACTCCACTACATGAGTCACACAGCACCTATGCAGTGGTCTTATGGGACCCCTACACGGTGTAAGGCTGGAAACATACCACGTATGCGTGCTGGAATTTTTCATATTCAGGATCATCTTCGATGGGTGGCTTCGTAGATTGTCCGCACACAAAGATGAACATTGCGCATAAGGCAGTTGTGCGTAACATTCCGTATTTTGCTAGAGCAAAGAAAAAGCAAACAGGCAGAAGCTTGCCCCGGTCCCTTCCTTTATATTGTATTATCTCTGACATTAACTTATGTTCACTGAAATAAAAGAGCAACATCAGCTACAAAGCTTTCCCGGATGTTTACTACTTTCTTTTTCTTTGTACACACCTCGCACGTTCGATGCCGGCTTGCGCATTATTGTGACCTTTAGAGTATTCTCCGCACAGGCCTTTGGTAGAAAAAAAAATCACAAAAACAACATGCCTATAAGGAAAACTATTGAATTGTAAAGCTTCCGGGATTACAAAATCCTTGTTCATGAATGTCAGGTCTTCCTTTGCGGGGATTCGTACTTTATGACGAAGTTTAATCCTCAATGTTATGTTGATGGCTTCTTAGCTCGATGTTACCGTTCGGCCTTCCCAGACTTCTAGCGGAACGTGTTCGTATAAATAACTACTGCACCTGTGAAGCTATGTATAAATTAAAATAAAATAAATTCTTATGCAACCACTGCATAGATGATAAATTTTCAGTAAGCCTCTGCGCATGTGTACACGCTTTCCCTCGACCTCGGCTAGGGATAACCCATGGGCGATTTCGTCTCAAATCAGACAGAGAAAAGGTGTCGAATTTTTAATTTTCACGAAACAAATACATATATTGGGCGGCATTTGTGAAATATGAAAGAGCGTAAGCGGTAAGTTTTGTTGGTTTCTCGTTTTCAAGTTAGAGACAACTGAAGCAGATGAGGCGGAAAAGGACTGATTTCTCGACTGTAGGGATCACATCTCTGACCCATCCCGCTCTGTTTCGTGCTTAAGTTACTGCGCGCGGACCTTATGGAGGCATTCTCCGGATAAGGATTGTTATGTTAAACTAGTTAAAAAGAAATGCGCAGTGAATTTTCGAACATTAAGGAAAAACGTGATTATGCTCCTTCTTGAGTGATTAGCAAGGTTTTTCAAACTACACCGTGTAACCATATTACTGTTTCTTAATAATGTTGCTTCCATGAAACTTAGTGTCCGTCGTTTGTAGCACTTACAATTGATGAACAACGATTCAAAACATAGTTCAAAATCAAAATACTGTTTAATGTAATCATCCGGAGCGTCTCGCTTTCTTTTTACCCAGCTAACATTCTGCTATGTGACACGACAAAAAATGAAGTGTTTTCAATCGAAATGCTTCCGTCACGAAGAAGGTGTTCATTTTAAAGATTGAACCGGTAACCATCTCCAGTGTACCTCTAAATCCTGTTGTCCAATCCATTAATAAAAATTGTCAGAATTCCAGAGGCCGATTGGCTAACTCGAGTCTCATGCCAAAGTCTTCCAAAGAAAGAGATTTCACTAATTTGGCAATGGCAGGGTGTTTGGTAATAGATCAGATTAAGCACACGACGAACGTATAGAAATGAAGGATTTCTATAAGACTAGCCCTCGCTAAGAAAGGACATTTTAAGAATTTTTTCGTTGTTTTAGCCATGTTTTTTGGAAAAAAAGGAAAAAGGGGGGGGGGGGGTTACACCAGAAGGTCCACGGCCCAGACATAAATGTGTCCACAAATTTAATAAAATATGATTAAACTATAACTTTCGGCGAAACATTTGCGTTTCTACGCAATTTGTTCTACAGCAGTAATATGCACCCGTTTTAGGGTCCATATGGGACAAATTACAGGAGTACACCGGGTTATAAAAATAATTAAACAGTAAAACCACGCAAATATTTTGACATAGAAAAACAACGTAAAAGCGGCAGCTACAGTTATGATGCACATACGAACGGATATCTGAAGAGATATATCACCAAATAAAAGATTGCATTTTATGTTAATGACGAATAAGCTCTACGATGCGTAGCCTATAAAAAAAACTTCGCATATACAAAATTTTGGTTTTGAAAAATATATGATTTTGCTTTCTGCGGCGATGGCTGCATTTTTTTTTTCGGTTCCTTTTCCTTCTTAAATGTCTCAGCGTTCATTTTCAGTCTGTCAGCACTCACACACAACGTAAATTTACCAGGATCGGAGCCTGTATGAGGGAAGATGTCGCATCGGAAATTCGAAGCCGGTTCATTCAAAAAGTGTGGGGAGCTGCGGGACTGCACTAGTGCCGCGGTTACGGAGATAATCATACATATTAATTTGGTATTTTGAACCTTGTTAACGCGTTGTGTATTACGTCTATATTACATATGTAATAAATCGTAGAAGATTGCGCTTTTAGAATGTATATTAATGTTGGATAAACGTGCACGAACACCCACGCGCCGCTCGAGAAGGAACATTTTTTTCACGTCGATAGCAGAAATTTTTTCACGTAGTCGCACCATGGCCTTCTTTCCTCCGACATTGTGACGTAACCACTGGGAGCGCTACGGCCTTATTTCTAGGAGGTGTTGCTCTAACACGGATACACGAGAGCTGTACACGGTTCACATCGGCGAAATTATCGTCTTGCGAACTACGACTGGCTCCAACTTGCTTGTCGTACAATGTTGCCAAGCGTCCCTTGTGAAAGGAGAACTTATGTTTTAAAAAACAAATAAATAAAAAAATATTAAAAAAAAAACAGAATGAACCTTTTTCTGTTTTCCGAAACATTTTAGTATGTTCTACGTGGCTATTTTCATCTTAGTTAAAATCAAAATGAAAATATAAACGCTCTCAAACGAATGTAAACGAGAAGTAAAGTAAGCCGCATGGTCATTGCATCAACAATGGCTTCTGCGCTCGCTGCAGCGCTGGCTTTCACGACGTGCTGGTACGGAGGCTGCGATCGTTATAAAGTCAGCTCTAACCCTTAAACATGCCCCCTCATACAATATTTGACGCTACGATTGGTTGTGGATACCTGCCACTGAGATTCGAAACAGAAAGTGCGTCGCTAACGCTGGCAATCGGGTATGAAGCAAGCGCCGCCACCTTCGGCGCGTCTTTTTACTAGCTCTTTACTACCGCAAATTCGCGGTAGTAAATTGCTAGTAAAAAGTAGTAAGAGTCAGAAAAAGGTAGTAACGCCTGCATTTGCTAACTTTTTAGTACCTATCGCGCGTTTGATTTAGTAAATGGTTAGTGAAAGGTAGTAACGCTCAGAAAGAGGTAGTAACTCGTGGAGTTACTAGCTTTTTACTAGCTTTTTTCAAGGGTATACTTTCCATTTCCAAAACGACCGCATTATGGTAGTCCTTGTAAACTAAAATCTTTCATTTAAGAGAATCTAGGTGCCCTCCGTTCACCAGTAAGCTGACAAGGCAAAGAAAGTTGCAACCCCACACACCATCCCGCTAGCCTACGGCTACCGGAAATGATCGCTGCACTTCTGCAGACAAAGCTAGCGGTGCGCATGCTCAGTAGCAGCGTCTATCTATGCTAGGAGAGTCGGAGGTAAGGAACCGACCAACGAAAGCTCCCTTTTGAAACTGGCCTTTCGAGCGTGAGCGCAACGTCTCCAAGCGGCGGTCTCGTGCCTGTAGCTTTGTGCAGGTTGCGAGAGTCCTCGAAGAAGTTGGAAAGCGCGAAACCGTGTAAATGTCAGAAACAAATAAATACGAAGAGATTTCTCCTGGCCATGAGAAGTAAAACACAATTGGAAGGCGGTGGAAAGAAGCAGAGCTGACTCGGCGTTGTCGTCTTGATCTTTTTTCGCCCGCATATTCGTATATGCCTTAAAAGTTTTTCTAATGGTTCTAGTGACCGGTCATAAAAAACCGCATTTTCATTTGACCGTTCTTCTCTTCACGATGCTTCGACTTTCTTGTACTTGCTCTATCTTTGTGCTACTGAATTTCCCGCTCTCATTGCTCGAGTTCTGTATTATGTTCATATTTTCAAAAAGTAACGAGTAATTAAAGCAATCCGTTACCAATATTTTGTAACAAAATTACATTACAAATTACTTCCGAAAAAATATAACGTGGAAATTACAAAATTACTTGAATAAGTAATTTTGTAATTAAAAAAAAATGATTGTGCGTCTATTTTCACGCACGACACTCGGAGAGCCAAGCACCGCAACTTACAGAGGCGGCTCAGGGAATGACAACGCCGAAACATATGATTAGACCAAAAAAACGCAGTCTGAGTTGTGACACTAAGCAATGCAAAACGTCACGCTTGCATTGCTTAATGTCCCAACTCAGACTGCGTTTTTTGGTCTAAACATATGTTTCGGCATTGTCATTCGCTGGGCTACCTCCATAAGTTGCAGTGATTGGCTCTCCGAGTGTTGTGTGGGAAAGCAGACTCACGGGCCTTTTTTAGAGTTAATGATTGAACGAGCGATTCCATGCCGGGGTCCCAAACGGAGGCTGCGTATTTCAGCTTCGATCTAATTCTGATTAAGCCAAATTTTACTGGAAGAGGGTTTGTGTGTAATGGTAATGAAGAAGGTTATTACAAAAGACTGTATTGACATTTTTTTAACTCTAGATAACATTCCTGCTCTGAGCCAGCATGAAACATGAAACGGTACACGTGTACTGGAAAGATAGTGTAAATAATATCTCGCGTAAGGCGTTTTTGGATGACACCCGACAAATATTCGAGATAAACGTACAGTAAAAAACCGGCAGGCGTCAATCATTTCGCCAAGAAAACTACCATTCGCCTTTGCTTTGTGTAACACGTAGAAACAACGAAGGAAGGAATTTTCTCTGCAAGTTTAGTCTGAATGACAGCACAAAAAAAAAAGGATTAGCTTTCTCTCTAAAAAACAAAAACCGCGAAACATCTTGCTTGACAAATACCTAGATGTGATAGGGACTGCACTCTTCCTTGACACAGCAAAGCAGATTGTCGCGATATACTCTTTCCCACCCAGACCGCCAAATGAATACAGCGAAGACACGGTGTAAGTTTTGTACATTTACTTTAGCGCTAGCCTAGGCTTGAAGTAACATACCAAATTTTTGCAATTACAAAATATATTACAAGCAGTAACACACGTAAAAATTGACATACCCCACCCACCCCATTTACCAGCATTCTC